CTATTGTAACTATCATTGACTGCATTTTATTATGTTATCAAATTAGTGCCTGACATCGCACCACAAGGCATAGAAGTGACAGAGCAAAACAAAACAACATTTATTATTGCTTGGCAGCCTTTGCCTAGGAACAAAGTTAATGGCAAAATCACAATGTACAAGATCGTCTGGGCCTTACGTCACATTGGACGAGCTAAGAGAATGGCAGTTGGTGACACTTTCACTGGAACAACAAAGGGAACCCAATTTGTTTTGCTCGGTCTAAGACTCTGTGCACAGTATGAAGTTCATGTTGCGGCTGCAACGGTGGCTGGCTTAGGTCCAAATGCTACTCAAGGTGTTACCACATCAAGTAAGCACTATTAAAATATCCCCTAAGAAGCTTTCCTAACAGTCTATCACACAACATTAGCTAACTTAGCGTATCTAAGGTTAGTAAGAAGAATAATTCTATTTTCCCTTTTCTATGAGCTCAGCAATTTTTTTTTAAGGACCAGGAGAACCGCATAACTTGAAGCCACGTAGAATAGGAAAGTCTTTTATTACTTTGGCATGGGAAAAGCCAAAAGGAGTGATAGAAGATGAAACAGACTATATGGTATGTGCTCATCAAACACAGAATGGTAAAAAAAGTTAAAAGATTAAAAATAGCTTGCTTTATCTCCACAATGTGTAGAAATGYCACGAATGTGCTATTTTCATGAGATTAAATGATGAAAGCAAAACAAATTCGTGGAACCTTTATATATTGCCAGCTGTAAATATGAGCCGATTTGGATTTCACCTTCTCATTTTGAAAATTCTCTCATAACCGTTTTTGATAAATAATAAATTCATACGTAAAAGCGCCGTAGGTCATACTCATCAAAACAAAGGAATCGCATAAATTTATACAAAAATGTAGGAATTGATATTTTCCCCACTGTCTTTTTCATATTTTAATATATTTATATTTTTGGAATATATGCTGGACAATTTTTTTAATACGATATAGAAATAAAAGAAGGTTATAGTGCTTAGAAGGAGGCAATTCCGGGAGAAAGACGCTTAGGAATAAATTTGGAAAAATTAATTTCTGACCTCGCTGGGATTCCAACCCACGACCTTCAGACGTATTTGTTGCGTTGTTTTCAATGATAGTACTTTATTGTCCGTAATTCTTGTTTTTTTATTTCATGGAAGGTATATTTTAAGGGTTCAAAGCCATACTGGCCTGAATATGGATCTCCACTCAAATCTGAAAAGCAAGATGGTAAACAAACAACACTTAAGATAGACAACTTGCAGCCAGGGACATACTATGAATTCTGGGTAACAGCGTTGACAGTTTGTGGTGAAAGCAACAGGAGTTTAACAGAAACAGTGGAAACAAAAGTGGACAGTACGTACCAGGCCATATCAACGTTTGTATGAGCCGGGATTTATATCTGTCATTAATAAATTTGCTCCATTTTCAATCGACAGAGCCTCGTATTGAACATCAAGTAACTCCTTTGATTCTTAGAGACAGCTTTAACGTCACATTATGGACATTCAAACCACACAATGGACCAATTAGGTACAGAAGTCCTTAATCAATTATCAATCGAGACTATTTTCTATCTTGCCCATCTATCCTTAAATTTATTTGTT